AATCTCTCTCTCTCTCTCTCTCCTCACTCTCTCTCTCTCTCTCAGACACACACACACACACACACAAGCGAGACACTGTATATTCTAGTAATGTTGCTCTACACTGACGAGTATATCTATTCCAATTATAAAGTAACTATTACTTGTAAATCTATAATATAATATAATATAAGCTATAATATTATTTAAATCGTAATTTTTATTTTATTAAAACTATAATGTAGAACTTTAAAGTATAAATTAGGCCATACTTTTAATAAAAATTTAATGACATTTAAAACAGTTGCTTGAATTATAACTAAATTTGATTTATTTTATAAAATAAAATATTTAATTTATTATTTTATTCAGAGCCTAAAGATAAATGGTCAATATAATCAAATGCTGATTTTGATATTAAAAGTTTAATTAATAAAATTACTAGATTCTGTATTATAAAATTATTTTGTATTAAACTTTTAAAGTTAACGAGACTCATTATCAGGCCATATAGAAGGCCAATGGAAATTTGTTTGTACACGCAAATATGAGTTTGTCTATACTTTTAGTTTTTACGTTTTAAAATGTCAATTTAATATATCGTTTTTTAAAGAAATTGCATAAATTGATATTATATTATTGAAAATCTTAAAATAAACAAGTCAATTTACTAATTATACGAAAATTCATTAGTTATTATCTAAATTTGTAATCCAAAAATTCTTTTATACGAAAATATTTATTGAGTATTTCATATTTTATGATAGTATATTATCAATTTATCGAAATTTCTTTTTTTATAACGATATATTAAATTTACATTTTAAAATATGTAAAACACAAAGTATAGACAAACTCATATTTGCGTGTACACAAATATTTCCATTGGCCTTCTATATGGCCTGCTCATTAGTATTCAGTAATTCTGTACATATAGAACATAGAACTGATGTAAATATTGTAAATTAAATACCGGTATATCATGAATATATATTGATTTGATGATTTTACAAATACCATAACATATAGTAATTGAAATCTAATAATGCCTGTAATGGGGATCTTTTCCCGGGAGGGAAACACTCAAACGAATGGTAGGAAAGAGGTTCAAGAGGTTTGCTATATAAGGGTCATCATCTGCTAATATCTTCAAGACATTTAAAAACTTTTGTGATCCCATTTGCCCAATCACTTCATATAATTAAGTGCAGTATTGTGATTTGATTTGATTTAAAAGTTACTTTATTAATTACAGCACATTTGTGAAAATACATTATTCAATATTGATAATTTATAGAATTTGTTTTATATTTACATGTAAGGTATAAATGAATTAGAAGTAGAAAGTGATTGAATTCTGTTTTATATTGGGTTGAAAACATTGGATTTATATGAAGAAAACAATAAACATAGAAATGTTAAATAATTTTTTAAAAATATACAGAATATGAGTGAATGGGAAGTCAGTTGACACGAAGAGATCGTTGTTTAAAATTTGGTCGCAACTCATAAATATAGTTATGAAATGATTTCGATGTTATGCTGATTGTCGTGAAGACTAGTAATAATTCGACGATTCTGTCAACATATCAAACAAATGTGGTTTGCATTTAATATATAATATTTTTATTATTTATGAGATTTTCATAAGAATTTTAAATTAAATTCAGGAATGTAATTTAAAATAAAATAAAATATTTATTATAAGCCTGTGTATGTTATATTCTTAATAAAGTTTTGTATTTGTTGCGAATACAACTAACCTTACAGTAGTACGGTATAACTTATATTAGAAACCTATAGATATTTTAAATCTTACTGTAAAATACTGTTTTGTAAAAAGGTTTTAAACCTAAAAGTCATCTCTTATAGTAAATATTATTTATCTATGAAAATAATCAATTATTCAAGTGATGACTACTGCTAAAAAGTGATCTCTGATATACAGTATAAATCTAAAGTATCTTTGATCTGATAATAAGGAAAATAAATAACTTTATTATTAATAAGCATTGATTATTATTTTATCTGATAATAAACAAAATTACTTAAAAAGTATTTGTTAGAATTAATCAAATATTTTGAATTCTGTACAATATAACCAAAATGAAACATAATTTTATATAAAAGAATTTCAAATTAAGGTAAATATTTTTTAATAATAACAAAAGAACTTACTAATATATACTGTACAATGTATGCTCTCTATATCTAAGCTAGATGAATAACATTTTAAACATTTAAACAAGTACAGTAAAATATTTTTAATACTAAATTATGTGGGAGAGTGAAAAAATGATTATTCATTAGAATATTTGTAATATTTCTAAAATATTTAAGAAATGAAATTATTAATTATTGTATAAAAAGGTACATAACTATGAATTATATTTTTTGTACGAATTCAATGAATAGCTTATAATTAGAATGAATTGACTTTTTGAGCGAAAATAAAGACAAACCTATAGATAGTCTGATAGGAGAACCAAAAGATGATTTCGTGATACTGATGGCCAAACAAACCGTACGCACCGATGACTCCGATTATTTGCAGAAGAGTGACGAATATGCCGTAAGTCATCAAATGGATTATGCGTTTCACTAGATTTTCAAATACATTACAATTTGAAATCTTCTGATTTTGGCCGCAAATATCAATTTGATGCTGAAGTGAACAACTGTTTTGGTATTAAATGAAGAATGAGTAACTTATTTGTAAATTAACACAAAACCTAAACACCTCTTATCGTCGGCTTCTTCTCTCAAATCAATAGTTTCTGTGATATTCTTAAGACTTGATTCCACGCGTACTGTCGAGTGGTTGGAGTTTTTTCGCGTCATTTTATTGCAGTATTTGTGTCGTTTATTATTGAATTTCGGTGATTGTCTGTATATGGAGTTCGACTCATTCCTCTTTAGTGAACCACTGGTTGAGCTGTCTATTGTCCACATAATATACAGTTATTATACAATTGATATTTTTACTAACAAGACATCAAATCTAAACTTTTAGCAATTTTAATTGGAAAATAACTTATGTCTATAAATAGTACTCTTAAGAGCAGTATTAGAGTATATACAGTATTTTACAGTTAAATACAGTATTAAATTGATCACTAGTTTGATATCAGTAATATAAGCTATTATAAATATATACGGAATATAATTTATTTTGTTATATAATACTAAAATTTCGTAAAAGATATAATATAATACTACTGTATATACTGTACTATATTTGATATATACTGTAGCTTAAAGGAATGTTCAGGAATCTGGTCTATTGCTAGCACTAAGTGCAGAATATTCCATTTCAATCAAATAGAAAATAATTATATAATAAAATACTGTGCATACTACCGTATCTACTTATTTTAATAATTAACAAATATTATGACATTTACTAAATCACTCAAATTATGACAAAATTCTCGTTTCTAATGAATTATAGTTCAATTTATATTTTAATAAACTTTCCATTATTATGTGTTAAAATAGTTTTTTTGTTAGAAAACTAAGGCTTTGGTAATCATAAAATATAAATATATTGTCAAAATTTGTTTAATGATAAAAAAAATAAATTTAAATTTTAGTCAAAACTCTAATATACTTTCTATTCAATTGATACACAATTTCTAGAGTTTAATGTTACAGTTAAATATAGTTATGCTAAAATCATGAAATTAATTTCTTAATACAAAATTCTAAATTTTAATCCCTCATTATGTTGTATGTATTATGTATACCCATTGAGTATGTAATACTAATGAAGTGTGTGTTAAGTACAGTAAAAACAATAATTTGGTTAAATGTTATTGTGATTATAGTAACGAATTATATTACAGTAATTATATTACAGAATAATTATTACAAGAAGAAAATATGATTTCATTAAAGCAATGGAAGAGTACTTACGGCCAGAATCAGTGACATTACACTGAGAAGGAGTGTTATCACTGGCATAGCTCACTGTTAGCTCATTTTCATCGGTTATTTTAATTCTAGGCTTTTCTTCTGCCAAAACCTCTTTTGACAAATTGCTATTAGATTTGGTCTCAA